GATGTAAGTCGGATCCGCGTAAGTCGGGGACTGCCTGTACATCTGGTTCCATCTCTGTATCAGATAGGGAACAAAGTAAACCACAGACAAAGAGGACTGACTGGTTTAAAACTGGACAGTTATCCTATCTAGATATGCTATGGGTATTTTTGTCAGCATTTCTAAAGTAAGAATGCCTGTGTCCATCTGTCCCTCTAGTGCCTGATCTGATTCCAATGGATCTACATTTACATGCTAAATGTTGCAGGATCAGGACCCTCACAATTCCCATTGACTCTAAATAGAGATGTGTGCAGGTATCAGAAGCCACTATCTAGCCCTTTTAAAGTCTGCACATAATCTACAATATTGTAATGATCCTCCCCTTCCCTGCCAGCTGGATTGCCAGTCGGCATAATCTGAGAGAGGCCAGGGAATGGAAAGTTCAAAGTGTGTTCTTTAGTGGGTGTCGGGCAGACTGTTGCCAACACTAGTGGAGGCACATGCTGGTGTATGAGGTCTCAGGATGCTTTAAAATGTGTTGAGGTTTTTTTCGACATTTTGATCCAGGATCTTTAGATCCTCTTCCTTTGGATATTCCTAATGTTGCAGTAGATTTTATGTCTCTCTGGCACTGTCGAGGGGTATGCCCCGGTGTGAGGTGTGCCCTCCCCTCTTAAGGTTTCGTTGCCCCAGTTTGGGCCCCTCAATCAGGGCATATACGGTACTAACAGTCACAATACCAAGTCCAGGCCCCTCTATCAGGGCATATACTGTGCTAACAGTTCCAATATAAAGTCCAGGCCCCTCTATCAGGGCATATACGGTACCAGAGGCCTAGCCCCGGGAAAAGCCTCTCCCGAGCGGGGTGTTGCCCAGGGTGCAGAAAGGGGGGGAGGGGGACCCAGGCCCTCCCTCTCCACCAGGTCCAAGCCCAGTGCCCCGTAGGCAGGGACTCTTGCTGCTGCCTGCTGGGTGGGGAGTCCAGCCGACACACACCGAGCTGGGTTAACAGTCCCTTGCCCTGGGCTGCTTCCTACCACCCTGGAGCCCCCATAGTCGTCCGCCTCGGCGCCGGTCCTGGGGTTGTAGGTGGTCCGGTCCCTCAGGCGGGGTTGGCTGCCGGCTTCACTCCCAGAGTCCAGTGCTGGCCCTCGCTCTGGCCTCAGCTGCTGCAGGAAAACTGGGGTTGCAGCCTGGGCCCTTCTACCCTCCAGCTGCCTCCCCTTCTGCCAGGCTCCCTCTGCATTGATACTCTGGCTCTGCTGGGAGCAGGCCCAGCATGGCTGGAGGGGAGGGGCTTTTTCAGCCAGCTGGTCCTGGACTACTCCCAGCCCTCCAGTGCGGGGCCTGGTCATCACAGGCACCCATTATGGTTCTCTAGGCTGACTCCTGCATAATACAGGCCATAGAATTTCTCCTAGTAATTCTTACATCCAGCCGGTATACAATACATAAAAAGATCTTTAGAGAATTGTAATGGTTACATACTCTCTTTGGTATAAGTACTAGAGTATTTTAGGTGTGATGGACTCAGAAACTCACTTTTATAATCTTTGGAAAGTAATGGAAAGTCAAAAGCACTGCTCTCTAGTGAATTGTATTGAGTCATTTATATTTACAAAGATGATGATTTTGGCTAAGGCTTATTCTTTAAATGACAACTCTGTTTGCATAGTAACATGTACCAATATCAGGCTAGGGTGTCTGTACACTTTGATAATGCAAGGGCAGAGAAATGGAGGGTGAGAGAAAGAGGCATTTTATTCATTAGGTTCCTCTCAGATTGAACACAAATAAGCTGACTGTTCCAACTCTTTAATAACAACTAGCACTTTTTATTTTGACATAGTTTTATACTGAAATCTTAAGATGTGATTTATACAATTGGGTTTTACCAATGTGAGCACATCGGTTATTTTCAGTCTGTGTATAAGTAATGTGTTTAGCACAGTGAGCTTTTTTAAAACAATGCACTGAATTTATAGGACCCTGAACAAGGAATATTTAACTATCAGCCAAAATTCCCAGGACTAGCACCAACACTTTTCTCTAGTCTGTTTTATTTATTATTAATACATATTTTACATCAAGTACCCAATAGGCAACAATGAAGGCAAGGTCATTGGCTCTACCAGCATAGATCCAATTGGAAGGTATGGCCCTAAATAAACAACAGAAAGACAAAAGTTGATGGGGAATGGGGAATACAGGATCTATCAACCTTACTCAAGTGTGTTTAAAGAGGAGCAATAGGTGGAGACTCATCAGGCTAGGTCAGAAAGGGTCAAAGAAGAGAGTACACATTGGTAGAAGGACAGAGGAAGAAACAATCCACATTGGTAATTTAGGAAAAGTAAACTTGTTTGGAATAATTAAGGCATCACTGGTCTGAATTTTGGCATGTATTTATGTATGTATAAATTTACACTTGCTTTTAGAGAGATTGTGAGGAGGAAAAAAGAAAATGAGAGAGAAATAAACATAGAGTATGGATTTTGAACTACGGCATGAAACTCACAGTAACAACCTATCTTATGGAGATTGTTCTTCTGGCTAGAATGCAAAGTAATACATACTCATCTTCTGAATATCTAAGAAAACCTAACCAACAAAAACCAACCAACCCCTCTGCCTTGCGGAAAAAAACATTTAAATTAAAGGGAAAATATGTGACACAAGCAAACTCTTGACTATTATGTTTGCCAGTTCCTATTTGTAATCTCTCTTAGATGGAAACACTGACCATCTTAGAGCACTTCACTGTATATGTGATAAATAACTAGCCAATGTTTGCAAATAGTATCTGTCTTGCAATTTATGTGTTCCGCATTACCATAGAATCTGAAGGTCCCATAGTCTTCTACATATTCATTCTCACCTACCTCACAGGGGAGTTATATTATCACCACTTTACAGATGGGGAACTGAAGCACAGAGAGGCTAAGCAACTTGCCATAGGTCTTCCTGAGGTGGAGCAAGGAATTGAACTTGAGCCTCCAAAGTCCCAGATATCAAGCCAAATTTGACAGAGTGGTGCAAATGTGAGAAACTCCAATAACTTCATTTGAGTTAATCTAGACATAGACTGGTGTGAATGACAGCAGAATTCATTCAGTCCTAATTATAACAGAAAAATAAGTCAAGAAATGCATGCTGCATGAGCCTGTTCCCAGGTTCAGACCCTACTTGATTTAATGTGGTAATAGATGGTAAAGAGAAGGAATTTAATAATAATAGGAGATTCAGATCTCTCTCCTAAAATTAAGTATCCTGATCTTTAATAAAGCAGCAATGGCCATGCTGCTACTTCTATTCCACTTTGATTCCCAATTACCTGGCAGTAACAGTGATGAAGAAGGCACTTCTGATGCTTAATTAGATAAATCAGGACAACGTCTCCTTTCTGCTCCTATTGAAAGGTCTTGGCCATCAAGGGCTACCTTTGTCAGAAAACCAATAGTTAATTACTTACTCCAAGTACATTGTCCCTATTTAATTCACTTTTCCGCCTTTGAAGTGTCTCTTATGTCTTTGATTAAACCTGTCCGTAGATCTCGAATAAACAGACAGAATGACCCTTTGAAATACATCTCATTCTTGAGTCTTGTCTTTTGCATTTCCAAATATAGAATTGTTTTCCCCAAAGAGCCATTGTTCCAACATCCAGGATGGTCCTTGTTCTGCTTTAGAGTTATAATATATGGAATGCATCTCCCCATTTGTATAATAATCAGTACAGTACATTAGAAAATAGAAATGTTAACTGGTTTTACCACACAAATAAACTGTAATTTAATGCACGTGAAGCAAATGTTAAAAAAAATTATCACTAAATCACCCCTGTCTACACAGATTATGCACATCCAAGGACCACTGAAGGCAATAGAAAACTTCAGTGGCATTGGAGCAGGCCTGGAGGGCCAAATATTACTTCTCACTGAGGAAACTACAATGAAACTGTGTGTTTCTCTAGGGACAGAATTTGTATCTATATGATAAGAAGCTATAATGTGAGACAAGCACTTAAGTACCATTAAAAAATATTTGAAGTCAGACAAAATGAAAAACTTCAAAGTGCAAAAATGTGTAAGAGGAAGTGCTTTCCAGTGTTAATTTAGGAAATATAGACTGCACTGCATTGTAGAGTTGATATGTCCACTAAAAATAATGGAATTATTTTCACTGATTTTAATAGCTTCAGGGCCATGTATTTCTGCATGTGAGTAACTTCGTTTAGATGAGCAGGCAACAAAGTTGTGCATGTGAATGAAGATATTTATGTCTATATATATTTGCAGGATCAGGCCCATATATAATTTCTAAAGTATTCTGAACCTGAAACATTTCTCTTTAATCATGGTGAATAAGTGCTGTGCTCAACAATAATGCAACCTTAAGCGTGGTAATGAGATTTACAGGCCAAACTTTTTACATATCTTATTATAATATTTTCTATTATACTCTCCATTGCATTCTCTCCAAGTCTCTATAACTTTGCTTTTTTACTGTCAATAATTCTAAGCTGAAATAATATAGTAATCATAACATAAAATATTCAAAAAATTATGTTAATTTTTAAATGTGTGTAGTCATGGTTTTTTTTTTTACCTAAGCAGCAATTTTTAATACAAAATGGAGACCTTTTATGTATGTGTCACTTACCAATTATTCTGCTCAATGATTAATTTTAAATCTTTTAAATCTGGCTGCCAAAAGATGTTCTAACTGGCTTTGAAGTTCATGCAAAAGCTCTTTGTTTTTATTCTTCTTTTAATATGATGTACACTGAATAACTTCTGGAAGGCAAAAAACAAAAAACAAAAACAAAAAACCAAACAAACAACCCCCAAAACAAAAACAAAACCCACCATTCTGAATAAGGCTCTTGCAGCAGGCCCATCTTACTGCTGGCTTTGGCATTATTTTCTAAATCCTTGTTGATTTATCAAGTTTGATTTATCTTTTTATAATCTACAGGCTTTATTACCTAAATAGACATTGCACACTCCTTCAGGTGTGAAAAAGGCTTGACACTGCTATATTTTAAAGTCCACAATGAATCAAGACCACTGTCTTTGACCTGGGTCTTCCTGGGAAAGGTTTCTCTTGGCATGCCCATCTTCCAATTGCGTCCATTAAGGTTGCTTTCCTTGACTCTTCTTCTGAAGGACACTGGAGAAAGGAGAGAGAAGGCAAATCTCTATTGGCCTTATTTGTGCAGCACAAATCAGATGATTCCTGATTTATTTACAGTTATAACCGGGCCACTCAGAGAATATTTACACTTCATTATAAACCTGGGTCTGTGGGACCCGGACTTATGGAGTCAGTGTTTCCAAGCCCATGCTTGAGAGGCCACATTGCATTGTAAGCCTGGGCTTACAATTGTGGACTCAACAGTCATGCCATTTTGTGTCCATACTTCACTACACAGATCTGACAACTCAGGTCTGCGGCTTGGGCTATGTCCACGCTGTAAAGTGATAGGCCTTGAACCTGAGTCTCATCAGGACTCGGGCTCTGACTCTCTGCCCAACAGGTCTTGGGACCAGGCCCACTGACAGGGGGAGGTGAAGAGGCAGTTGCTTCTGTGGCAGCAGTGGCGGCTGGAATCCCAGGCCCTTTAAATTGCCACTGGAGCAGCTCTAAGGGCTGGGGGAGGGGGCATGGCATGCCCCAACGGCAGAGAGGGCTGGCAGTCCTGGTTCCATCACTTCCACCTAGGCCTTGCCCTAAACCCCGCCCCTTCTGGGAGCATGGAGTCACACCCCCTCCCACCCTCCTTGCCCAAGGACCCATAGAGGCTGTCATTTCCCCTTAGGATTCAGATCCTAAGCATTTACTGAGCTGAGTCAGACTGATTTGTGAGTGCACAGAAGGAAAGCTTGGGCTTAAACCTGAGTCAGAGCCCAGCTTAATGTGCAGTGTAGACATACCCACAGAGGAGACTTTAAATCTGCTCCTCACCTATACAGATAATTCTAGACCCCTAGCAATCAGCCAAAGCATCAGGTTCCTGATCTGAGAGGAACAAAATGAGACTGTTTAAATAGTTTTTACAGGGCTCCTGTAAATCTGCCAAGTCTGATTCATTTGGAAGGAGATTCCTTCATAATGAGGCCTTTAAAAAAGCCTCTTTCTTCTAGAATGAAATATGTTTGCTGTGTGAGACATTTAACATCTCCCCCATAATTTTCTGAAAACTCATTCCAACTGGAACAGCTTGCCAGGCCTGCTCAGCAGTCCAGGGCGAGAGGAGCAGCACTCAAACTTGGGCTCTGCTGGCACTGTGAGTTCCACAGTGGAAATTATTTGCACTCATTGTTAAGCTAAAAATGGAAGAGAGAAGGTATTGTTCTGATTCAGTTCTATACTCCAAAAGCCATCTGACTCAGAGGCACTCAAAATGGTTTTATATAGTGCTGTGACTGTGGAGATACAGAGTTTTGTTGGAAGAACATATAGCTACCATCCTTAAAGTCTATGAATTCTGTTTCTTTTCTTAAGCAGAGGGCAAGCAGAACGAGGGGTTACAATGATCAAGCTCTGTCTACACCATCCCTGACAGATGTCTATCTAACCTGTTCTTAAATATCTCCAGAGAGGGAGATTCCACCACCTCCCTTGGCAATTTATTCCAATATTTGACCACCCTGACAGTTAGGAATTTTTTCCTAATGTCCAATCTAAACCTCCCCTGCTGCACTTTAAGCCCATTACTCCTTGTCCTGTCCTCAGAAACCAAGAGGAACAAATTTTCTCCTTCCTCCTTGTGACACCCTTTTAGATATTTGAAAACCGCTATCATGTCCCCCCTTAATCTTCTTTTTTCCAAACTAAACAAGCCCAGTTCATGAAGCCTGGCTTCATAGGTCATGTTCTCTAAACCTTTAATCATTCTTGTTGCTCTTCTCTGTACCCTTTCCAATTTCTCCACATCTTTCTTGAAATGTGGCGCCCAGAACTGGACACAGTACTCCAGCTGAGGCCTAACTAGTGCAGAGTAGAGCGGCAGAATGACTTCACGAGTTTTGCTTACAACACACCTGTTGATACAACCTAGAATCATATTTGCTTTTTTTGCAACAGCATCACACTGTTGACTCATATTCAACTTGTGGTCCACTATGACCCCTAGATCCCTTTCTGCCATGCTCCTTCCTAGACAGTCGCTTCCCATCTTGTATGTATGGAACTGATTGTTCCTTCCTAAGTGGAGCACTTTGCATTTCTCTTTATTAAACCTCATCCTGTTTACCTCTGACCATTTCTCTAACTTGCTAAGGTCATTTTGAATTATGTCCCTATCCTCCAAAGAAGTTGCAACCCCACCCAGTTTGGTATCATCTGCAAACTTAATAAGCGTACTCTCTATCCCAATATCTACATCATTGATGAAGATATTGAACAGTACGGGTCCCAAAACAGACCCTTGCGGAACTCCACTTGTTATCCCTTTCCAGCAGGATTTAGAACCGTTAACAACAACTCTCTGACTACGGTTATCCAGCCAATTATGCACCCACCTTATCGTGGCCCTATCTAAGTTATATTTGCCTAGTTTATCAATAAGAATATCATGCGAGACCGTATCAAATGCCTTACTAAAGTCTAGGTATATGACATCCACCGCTTCTCCCTTATCCACAAGGCTCGTTATCTTATCAAAGAAAGGTATCAGATTAGTTTGGCATGACTTGTTCTTCATAAACCCATGCTGGCTATTCCCTATCACTTTATTACCTTCCAAGTGTTTGCATATGATTTCCTTAATTACCTGCTCCATTATCTTCCCTGGGACAGACGTTAAACTGACCGGTCTGTAGTTTCCTGGGTTGTTCTTATTCCCCTTTTTATAGATGGGCACAATATTTGCCCTTTTCCAGTCTTCTGGAATCTCTCCTGTCTTCCATGATTTTCCAAAGATGATAGTTAAAGGCTCAGATACCACCTCTATCAGCTCCTGGAGTATTCTAGGATGCATTTAATCAGGACCTGGTGACTTGCAGACATCTAACTTTTCTAGGTGATTTTTAACTTATTTTTTTATTTTATCTTCTAAACCTACCCCCTTCCCACTAGCATTCACTGTTCGGCATTTCTTCATCAGACTTCTCGGTGCAGACTGAAACAAAGAAGTCATTGAGCATCTCCGCCATTTCCAAGTTCCCTGTTACTGCTTCTCCCTCCTCGCTAAGCAGTGGGCCTACCCTGTCCTTGGTCTTCCTCTTGCTTTTAATGTATTTATAAAAGGTCTTCTTGTTTCCCTTTATGCCTGTAGCTAGTTTGATCTCATTTTGTGCCTTTGCCTTTCTAATCTTGCCCTTGCATTCCCGTGTTGCTTGCCTATATTCATCCTTTGTTATTTATCGTAGTTTCCATTTTTTATATGACTCCTTTTTTATTTTGAGATCATGCAAGATCTCCTTGTTAAGCCAAGCTGGTCTTTTGCCATATTTTCTATCTTTCCTACACAGGGGAATTGTTTGCTTTTGGGCTTTTTGGGCCCCATACATTATGACATGTATTCTTTTCCATTCATATCTCTGTGGTCACCAGATTTCCATACTTTCCATCCATTGTCATCAGGGCAGGCTCGAGCCATTCATGCTCCCTGGGCAGCGAGCACATGACATATGCATGACTCCACCCCCCCAGCGAGCGGCGCCCCTTACAGCTGCCATCAGGGGCCGCGTGCCCGGGGTTGCGGGCCACGCAGCGCCTGATGGCAGCTCTAAGGGGTGCTGTGCAGCTCCCAGCCCCAGGTGCGCGGTGCCCCTTACAGCTGCCATCAGGCACCCCCCATAGGTTGGCACCCTGGGCATCTGCCTGGCTAGCCCCGTCTTAATCCAGCCTTGATTGTCATAGTTCAATCACACGATGCAATTTCCCTGGTTAAATACTTTCATATCTCCTGGTTTTAGTTCTTGTTATGCCCAGAGTGTGCTAGGCATTATGGCTATGTCTAGACTGCAAGCCTCTTTTGAAAGAGGCTCTTTCGAAAGAGAGCGTCTAGACTGCATGCGGAATTTCGAAAAAGCAAGCCGCTTTTTCGAAAGAAAGCACCCAGTGAGTCTGGATGCTCTCTTTCTAAAAAGCCTGTTTGCTTTCAAGAACGCCTTCTTTCGAAAGAGTACTTTCGAAAGAAGGCGTTCTTCCTCGTGGAATTAGGTTTACCACCGTCGAAAGAAAAGCCGCATTCTTTTGATTTAATTTTGAAATAACGCGGCCTGAGTCTGGACACAGCCTATGTAAGTGCATTAGGCTATGTCTATACTAGGAAAGTGTTTTGAAATGACTAAATTTGAATTAATAACTCCCAATTAAACAAATTCGAATGAACAAGTCCACACTATGGGAAAGCCTTGAAATTAGTCCGAGACAGGTTCTATTAATTTGGATGCGCTACCTCAGACATGGAGCCCCAAGAAGCACTGGGGAGTAATTAGTGCAAATTACTCTGGGGCATAAGCCTTTCAAAAGAGCGGCACCGGAGCATCCATACTACCGGTATTTCGAAATAACTATTTTGGAATTAGCGTTAATCCCTACTATGAAGAGACGGTAATCTAATCTAATTAAAATAATCTAATTTATTACCAAAAACAACATGCAAAGAAAAGAAGGAGAGAGCAATACTTTTCATGCAATGACATAGAAATGATAAAGCATAGCGATTAGATAAGAAATCTGAGGAGATGGTGATTAGCAGCCTTACTTCTTTGTTAAATGCACATATAGATAGACATAGTCATGTCTGTATTTGTTCAGGATACCTACTTCAGAATGTAGTCATATTTTCTTCAACCATATCATATACAGCTATATTTTATCATAATAGTTAAATTAAGATTATTGCTTTGAATGGGAGCCAGAGGTAGGTGAAAATCAGGTCATACATTTCTAAGCAGTAAGTTAAAGTTTTCTTGCTAACATGAAGGAGTCAATTCTTTTAAATCCTAGGCACCTATCCAGGGCATCTTCACCTACCTGCATGAGTAAATAATTAATCTATTTTAGGTTTTGTTAGGATAGTGCTATGGTGTGTCTTTTACAAACTCTACAAGGTAAACCACAAAGAACAGCATAACTATAATGACTTGACTACCTATATTATTAGAAACCTAAAAATAATTCCTTCCTGAGTATAAATTGAAACATGTACAGCATAA